CTCTCTACCGGAGTACAGATTAGGGTCTCATCCATAGTAATATATATAAGATTGTTTTTTCATTTGCTTATGTATTACTAAAAATTGTATATAGTGTTTCCGGAAAAAATAAAGTGATATTTTCATATATATACTAGCGTCCAAAGTGTTATTATATGTTTCAAACATAGTCAAGCTAGCTATATATTATTCAACTTCATAACCAATTAATTTGAACAAATAAAAATATAGTTTTTTCCAAATTCAGAACCAATTAATTTGAACAATTGAAAATAGAAGATGCGCATAATAAGATTATTATGATTTGAAAGAGAATTTTCTTAAACTTGAATATGACTTTGTTTGTTTGTTGATGGTCAAGATTGAATCAAATGTTATAATAGAAGCCTCGCACACTATCAATATAAATTATGAACACCAAATGAAATATTAAATTTCTATATATATTTTTTTCAATGCGTGGATTGTTTACATTAGTTTGTTCATGTCTGTGATAGCATCATCACATGAAGACACAGTGGCTATTGTATTTTTGTTCAACTAATGTCAATAGAAAGATTACTCTACAGCTAATCTTTGTTCAACTAATGTCAATAGAAAGATAATTCTACAGCTAATTTTTGTTCAATTAATGTCAATAGAAAGATTAGTTTATAGCTAGAAAAGTTGTTTAGTTGGTGGTGTGCAAAGTCGATTAATTAGTTAAAATAGAGTTTTAGCTTGTAAATCTTATTATTGTAGTTTGATCAAACATTTGCTCAATAAAAAGAGTTACGAGGGAGAATGAGAGACGTTCTCTTAAAAGTTCATTATATTAGTTTTCACTTTCGACAGTTTACATGAGATTCCATTATATTTAGACGAAGCTGTACTTACAGTCGACTAATATATATCAACAAGAACACCAAATACATAATATATTTCTTAATTTAGTAATAATTGACAAAGCTTGAACATTAGAAATAAATTCATGCCTCAAAGGATTCTATATAGACCAAGCCTGATTATGCCTCGAAATTTGTAGGGCCGACTGTGACTTCATCTCCACAAAATCTTTGAAATATAATTCTTAAAACGCCAAAGTTGTATCATTAATTCAAGTCCACAAACTCAACATTTGCTTTTGCCGGGTAATAGTGAGTTGAAAAACAATGCACATTATCCATATATATATGATATATAGATGGCGTTTAGTTTAGCTTCTCACATCCACCAGAGGCCATTTTATTTGTCCATACCAATAAATCCAACACCAAATCACGCAAGAAATAACATGTGAATATATATTTTCTTCACAAAATTCGAAAGGAAGGCATGTGAAAAATAAACATAAAACGCGTCACCGAAAATTTCCAACTACTTTTGTGATATATTCAATTTATTTTTGTCCTAACTCATGTGCTGGTTGATTACAAGTCCGGAACAATACATGTAACATGTTTTCCATTTCTCTCCCTCATTTCTCTGGTCTATAAATATACTGTTGCTTACCCAATGGTAAAACACGCGGCAAGAGTATACAT